AACAACCTTGGAAGCAAATATCCCCTCATGTTGAAACCATTCCTTCCAATCCATAGCATTACGAAAAATCGGCCTAGGCGGCATGGGCGGGTCTGGGCGGCGCTAGGCGGGTCTGGGCGGAGCTAGGCGGGTCTAGGCGGCGCTGGGCAGTTCTGGGTGCCAGGGTGGGTATGGTTCTTTTCGTTTGTTCTTTAAGCCCACTGCCTAGCGATTTTTCAAACTTATGCACTGCAGGGCTGGTCTAGGCGGCACTGGGAGGGTCTAGGCAGCGCTGGGAGGGTCTAGGGGGGTCTGGGCGGCTCTAGGTGGGTCTAGGCGGCCCTAGGCGGCGCTAGGCGGGTCTAGGCGGCCCTAGGCGGCGCTAGGCGGTTTTTTTTTTTTTTCTCCCTTCCCTTTTCTTTAAAAAGGTTTTTTTAAATCTGGGTGCCAGGGTGGGTCTCGTTCTTTAGGGTTTAGGGTCTGCGTGCCAGGGTGGGTCTGATTCATATGGGGAGATGATCCTGACCTGGAACTGACAGAACCTCCACCTGATGTTGGTAATATCTTGGTTCTCTCGTATAGAGCAGCAACATGTACTATTTCCCTTGCAGTGGAGTGTCCGGTAAAAGACAGCCTATCCCTGATCAGGTAGTGTTTATGAAGTACGAGGATCTGAAAATGGACACAATGCAGCATGTGAAGAGGTTGGCTGAGTTCATGGGGCATCCTTTTTCGTTAGAGGAAGAGAGGCAAGGCGTTGTGCAAGAAATTATAAACTTGTGCAGTTTTCAGAATTTGAGTAATTTGGAGGTGAACAAAAGTGGGGCATATCATGTCCATATTGCGTCCCAAAAGGGGCAAACACCTTTGCTGGTGAACAACAGTGCCTTCTTCAGACGAGGAGAGGTTGGAGACTCCAAGAACCATATCTAACGGTTGAGATGCTTGAGCATATTGACAAAAATCAGAGAGGAAAAGTTGGGTTCTTTTGGTTTGAAACTTTAGATGAATCGTTTAATATTTCTACAATAAAAGACATCGATTTGTTTATGCTTTTGATTGTATGGTATGGATGGACTACAACTTTATTTGATGAATTAAATTATAAGTTACATGCATGAAGACAAGAGGCACAAAAGAAAAGACCGTAATGACTCGGCAGCGGGACCAAATGTCAATCCAGAAGCATTGAACTTGTCATCTGTGATCTGATCTAGACGTCTTGCCATCTCATCTGTGAAATAATTTTTCCAGTCCCCAACTTGACCTTTCCTAAAGAAGTAACTGTTCTTAACAACAAGCTGGCTGCTAAACCATTGCACCTTGGTTTTATTCACCTCCAGATGACTCAACTTCTCAAAACTACAGAGCTTTATTATTTCCTGCACAACCCCTTTCTCTCTTCCTCTAATGAAAATGGCTTGCCCAAAAATTCAGCCAATCTCTTCAAATGAACAAAGGGGTCCTTCAAGGATGAAGAGCTTTCTGGCAGCAGGACTTCCATAATTCTGAATCAGCTCTAAAGTTGGTAAACTTGCAAGTTCCTGAAGAATCAGAATAGTCATCCTTTTAATTTTTATATAATTAGCATCAGAAAAAGAAACCAGGATAATTAACAAATTGAGAACTTGTATCAGCAACATAACAATGCAATGCCACCAAGTGACACAAATGCGGGTGGGCGTCACAGAAGTCAACCAGGTTACGAGATTCAACCCAGCATTGTGCCAGACAATGTGATCCCGCCCCAACCTGACAAGTACTGGGCTCCACACCCTCAAACTGGGGTATTTGGGCCTGCAGCTGAACATAGTCATACCGCAGGTGGAAGGGACGGCTCCTCACCTGTGGATATTGGCGAGGAAGCCTCGGTGCTGGAGCAGAAGGCTTGGTTCCGCCCTCCCAGCATCGAGGACTTGGAGAAGCCTCACCTTCCCTGAGTCTGAGGCAATTATTATTCAACCTCCTATTCTATAATATACAGATATCCGTCCTTGCAAAGGAATATATTACGAGATTAAAATAGAGAGAGAGTTGGTGAATCAGTTAGATAGGGAGTGTTGAATGTATAGATTAATCATATAAATAAGGGTTATAGGTAGGCGTGGTGCACGCCCTGCCTATGCAGTACTTGTATTTTCTGTTCTGTGTTGTGTGCGCGCGAACTACTATATACAGAGAGCAGTGGGTTGATGTTCATATATCATATATCATAAATCAGAGAGCTTGAGTTGTTGTTGACTGTATGTTACATTATTATATGTAACTTAATTATGTATCTCCTAGTTATGCTTATGGGACGTGTTTCTACGGTATATTGCTATAGGATACATGGATATGCCTTCGAACTTGTTCTCTCTCTCTCTCTCCCCAAATTTAGTAAGATGCGAATCAGTTGATGCCAAGCTTAACGAAACTAACGTGAACTTATGAAAAAGAAATGAAGGGTAAAAGAAACCAAGAGTTTTGCACCCCTTTTGAAAGCAATGGCATGCACGCAGATGCCGTTAAATTAAAGCAAACAGATAATCATTAATTTAAAATTTGAAGATAATTATACTCATCTTCGAATCGATCGAGGCATTGGCTAATGACGCCGACTCAGTCATAGCACCTTCCTGTTCATGGCTTTCCTTTTTATTTTTATTTTTCTATACAGTATTGATATGGTGTTTGTTGGAATTTTTTTGAATGGATCCACAAAAAAGCAGGCATGACCTTTAATCCCTTCCTAACTGTTGGATTTATCAGAGCGGATGGCTCAAAGGAAACTATTACGTATAATAAATGCGAATATATTTACAGAGGCTATACTCTTTAAACACAATAGAGTCAAATATTTAAAGGGTATAGCCGGACGGCTATACGCATTACATATAATAAATTAGAATATATTTAAACGGTATAGCCGCTCGGTCATACTCATTAAATATAATAAATTGGAATATTTAAAGAGTATATCCGCCGGCTATACTATTGAATTATAATAAATTCGAATATTTAAAGGGTATAGCCCGGCGGCTATACTCATTACATTTAATAAATTCCAATATATTTGAAGGGTACAGCCGATCGGCTATACGCTTGAATCGAATATTTAAAGAGTATAGCCGGTCGGCTATACTCATTACATATAATATTTAAAGAAGCTAGCTAACTGAGTAATTAATTGCGCTTTATATTGCTGATTTAGTTGATTGAGAGTTTATATCTTTGATTACTGGAAAATTAGTTATGTCTGTTCAATTTATTATGTTTGACTCTGATATTTATATAGTCAATATTTCCATGGTCATGTTCGCACAAGAAATGAGGGACATAGAGGATTTATCAATCTATCAGCTAATTCTTAATTTGTCATTTGAATTTAGGAGTATGTTGTTGAAAGCACTCAAGTTAACATCCATGAGGAAGGGAAAAAATATATTTAAAGAGTATAGCCGCTCGGCTATACTATTAAATTATAATAAATTCGAATATTTTAAGGGTATAGCCTATATATATAATAAATTCGAATATATTTAAAGGGTCTAGCCGCCCGGCTATACTCTTGAATTATAATAAATTAGAATATTTTAACGGTATAGCCGCGCGGCTAAACGCTTTACGTATAATAAATTCGAGGTATAGTCGTGCGGCTGTAGGCTTGAATTATATAAATTCAAAGCTATACTCATTACGTATAATAAATTTGAATATGTTCCAAGGGTATAGGCGTGCGGCTACACTCATTATGTATAATAAATTTGAATATGTTCAAAGAGTATAGCCGGCGATACTCATTAAATATGATAAATTCGAATATATTTAAATGGTATAGCCGCGCGGCTATAATCTTTAAATATAATAACTTTGAATACCTTTATTACAAATTTATAAATAAACCCAATCCTAGACATGTATTTATAAAAAAACCCAAACACTATTTAAACATAGAAACACACCCAAAATCAACCCCAAAGTCAACTTTTTGGGTGTGTTTATAAATGGGTTTTGAGTGTGTGTAATGATGAGTTTTGGGTGTGTTTATATGTTTAAATAGTGCTTGGGTTTTTTTATAATTTCACCCCCCATTTTGGGTGTTTTAGTGAAACTCCCTATATTTATTGGGTATCGCCGCGGCGATACTCTTTAAATATAATAACTTCGAATATATTTATTGGATATCGCCGTGCGGCTATACGCTTTAAATATACTAAATTCGCAATTAACTGAGTGATTAATTGCGCTTCAGATTGCTGATTGAGTGTTTATATCTTTGATTACTGGAAAATTTGTTATCTCTTTGATTGAAAATTCTGTAAAAGATATGAGGGACAGAAGATTTATTAATCTATCAGCTAATTCTTAATTTTTCATTTGAATTTAGGAGTATGTTGTTGAAAACACTCAAGTTAACATCCATATTGAATAGCTATTAGAAGAAGCAGACTTTTCTAATTTTGATCTGAAACTAAGTGTGAGAAAACATATAAAAAAAGGTAACACTCTGTGTGTATCCTAGGACTCTGAAATGTATTTTGTTCATGAATTGCAATCTCAACTTAAAGTTTGGTTGACACTGATGATTTCACGTTCATCAGTAGAATTGATTGAGTTCAAGAAAGCAGCCGAGCAGCTCCTGCATTTATTCTCTACGAAACTCTTATCAGTCCAATTGCTGAAGCTATATTAGGCTCTCAAGTATATATAGCTCTTGGAAATAATAAGTTGATGTGTGATAGCATTTTCTCTTTATCTCGTTCGAATGCCACATTTGTAAATGCGAGAATGTAGTTGAAGTCAACCGCAAAACTAGTTTAATGTTGATAAAAACAACCGTCACTGTTTCCTCCTTCCAGGCAAATAAGGGTATTTTTTGAAACAATGGTCTTACTGGAATTATTATCGCCGATTTCTCGAAGAACTTAATTGTAGATGGGACTGGAACCGAATAGTTTGAAACCATATGTTACGCGAAACTTATAATTTGTCAGGACGCTAATGTACTATGTAATACACAAAGAGCTTCAGTTGATGGATTCCTCACATAAGTTTAATAAATATCCAACTTATCACAAATGTATATTGTCATTGACAATTCATGTGAGTCAAACCACATGAAATGAGATGATAATTGTAATTAATTCATTCGGCTACGGTGTACCCCGTATGGCAGCAGCACTAAAAACTGGCACTTTGAAATGCCAAGTTCCACTACATTCGGCTACGGTGTATGGAAACACGCCTGTTTGAGTTGCAGCACAAGCTATATAATCAAGTTTCTAACATCGTAACCAATGCTGCCCTGCATAGGCAGGCACCAAGTTGATGGCCCACGAAAATGCTCGTGCTTTGAAGTGAGAGTTTGTGTTGCACTTCCTTGCTCTGTTGTCCATGTTTCCAACTGCTAAACCAGAGGGGCTAGTCTTAGCTGTTGTCTTTCCAACATATTACACCAGTTCATCAGTGCAACTCTTGCTGCTTTATCAGTTGTGCATTTTAATGTGGCGAAAGTTAACACCGCATCTGGTTTGAAGCGTTTGTAAAAAAACGGCACAGCCATCACGTAAGACCTGAGATTTGAGAAAACATTTTATAACCCACAAACAAGGTCAATATGATATAAATTAATATGACTAGGAGTCCAGGAGTCCCAAACGTAAAGTGAACAACAAAATTCACGAGAGAGAGGATTAAAAAAAAACTCACCGTCTTTTGACTGCTGCTGAAAGGATCATAGCCTGTGTCCATACCAGATTGAACAAGCACATTGCATCACAACCCAACCATTCACTACTACTCACAATTCCTCTGTTGAAGGACAATTAAAGCAACTTTTAACATCTGCCTAGCCTTCCTATCCGGAGTGCATCCAGCATGTTCCATTTCCTTGTAAACCTCAGGGACCTGATCAGGAAACCACTTGCATTTTGAGAGATTTAGAATAGAAAACAAGCTTCCTACTCTCTTATTCGTCATAGCTCGCATTAAATTTTAAAGTTCATGAAGAATATATAGCACCTTATTGAACTTCCTTGCCCGAATATATGCCTTCATGAGGGTAGTATACGTAACCACATCAGGGCTAAAACCCTTCAGAAACAACAAAACCATCACCATTAGCAACTCAGCAGGCAAGTACCATGAGAGAACTGTATTGGTTGAAGAAATTCAATATATCTGAAAAAGTTATCACCCGCAACTAGACAAGTTTTATGCAAAAACAAGACTTACACTTTCTTTTATATGGTGATAAATGGATAAAGCCTCTAAATGTCTACCAGCAACACCAAATGCATTCATCAGCACATTCAGCATTATGACATTCAGTTCAATTCCCTCAGCTTCCATGAGCTGAAGTACCTTAACTGTCTGTCCGCATAATCCCTGCATTAACAAAAAAAAAAAAAAAAAAAAAAGAGATTATGGGACCAGATGTCCGTGCATTAAGTGAAAACAATTTGGAAGGGGCAGAAAACCTGCTGAGCGTAGGCATTTGCTAAGACGCAAAACATGCTGGCTGAAGGAATAAGACCTTCCGCCTTTAAGGCAGATATACACTCCTCTGCATCCTTAAATTTTCCATATTGCCCATAAATATCAACCAAAGCAGCATAAATGGTCCCACTTTTCTTATGCCCTCGGCGTTTCATATTCTCAAAAGTCTTCTGTATCATATCCCACTTCCCCTGCTCCCCCAGTCGGCTGATAACGGTGACAAAGATCTTTGGATCAGGATATAACCCCTGTTCCTGCATCTCAGATAACAAATCAAGTGCCTTACTTATATCCCCAGCCTTACAATGCCAACGTATTAAGGAATTAAAAGTCGTTATATCAGCCTTTACACCTTCTTGTTTCATTTTCTCAAACACTTCCAAAGCTTCATCCACCTCACCATATTTCCCAAATGCATCAATAACGCTGTTGTAAATCTGTTTGTCTAATGCCATCCCCATCTCCCTTATCTCGCCCACAATGTCCATTGCTTTCTTCCACATTCCATTGTCCCTGTAAAGACCAATAACCTTACTGTACACAAATGAGCTTAGCCGAAACCTCTTCCGCTTCATCTCATTAATCATTGACCAAGTATCTTCCAACCTCCCAGCATTGACATAGTAATCAAGAAGAATCTCATATGTCTCTTGATTTTTCTCGGCCCCCAAATCACCCATTACCGCCAAAACTCTAATTGCCAGTCCTAAGAGGCCTTTCTTCAAAAACCCTCTGAGCAAAACATTGTAAAGCTTAATTCTTGGCCTAAACCCAAAAGATATCATTTCCTGAAACAACATATCAGCCTCCAAAGTCCTGCCAGTACTTCCAAGAGCGTCAATCAAATGAGCGTAAGAGATTGAATTGGGTCGAACCCCAAGAGCTTCCATTTCAGCAAGAAGAGCCATGGCCTTGTCAATTTGGCCTGCTCTACAAAAATCACTTATCAAATGGTTGTATGACTCGCCAGAGAGTTCCTCACCATTTGGGCAGTTAGTAGTTGCATGGTTTTGATCAGTTAATGCTATAAATTTGACTTCTTTCACACCCTTTCTGCGCTTTGAGTGAGTGAAAGAACCATGGAACTTGTACGTATCAGAGTATTTGAGACAACTTGAGCACAACAAAGGGAGAGGAGTGAAGGCACCTGTAGATGAAAGTGAAGGTGACTTGCGACCCAAAATGGACTGCATCAGCATATCTATCTATGCCCTTGAGTTAACAAAACGGTTAGGCTTTGCTTTCTGCCTTGTTTATCTTTTGGCTGTACAAGGCGCTTCAGGCACTGCTTTTTTTGCTTTGTGGAATGACGATGATTATAATTAGACAATTAACGGGAAAAAAAGGTGGAGTTTAGAATTAGAATAAGATGACTGACACTAGAGGCTGACCCAATCAGGCGAGCCCACTTTGCAGGTCAAACCCAAGTGTGCTGGCCCAATCACAAGCCCATTTGAAACTTCCAAGTCAAACCCAAGTGTGCTAGACGTGCTATTAGCACTATTCGGCGTGGAATGGAAAGGAACCAACGAAATTTAGCTCATTGGAAAATTGCATTGATTTATATATCAGTAGTTTCAGGTTCGAACTTATATGACATCTTGACAATGTGTGTGTATGAAGACAATACCTCAAATCAGTGCAACTCTTGCATTTTACTGTGGTTTAATTCTATAATATGCTATGAGGCTACACACAGAAATAATAGGCTAGACCAGAACACAGGTAACAGGTTCTTCTTCTTTTTTTCAGGGCTCCACACTCCACAAGAATATCATCACCCCTTTCTGCAAAATCTTTTTTCTGTTTGGTTAATAAAGAATTGAAACTTCATTGAAAGACTAAGCTAATACAACCACCAGCAAAAACAAAGGCAGCAAGGAAACTACACCATATATATAACAATAACGAGAGGGAACCAAGTTTCCCAACAACAAGAACGCACATTCCACATGACCGATTGCTCTCAATGGGGGAGAGGGGAGGCCATCTCTATGTAAACACCACCTCACAATCTTTTCATTCAATAAATAAAAAACTATTTTCAACACGTAAGGAAACACCGATATCCTTTAATCCAGCACATACACAAAATCATTATGAAGAAGAACCAGCAATTTTGTTTTTGACCTACTACTATAAGTTGTACCCAACCTTGTTGTGCATATTCTTCAAAAATAATTTGATAGTAAAACGAAAACATAAATAAAATTTTGGGCCACCTTCTTGTGTTGGGCTGGGCCTTAATGGGCCCTAATCAATTTACGATCAAAGTTGGGTCAGTTGATTTGTAAGAACGAAACTGAGGGAAAGGGCAAGGCCCAAGACTGCCGACCCAATACGAAAATAGACTCATATCAGCCATTATAAAACCCAAGAAACCCTAGAGCACACAGTCATTCTTGCAGCCGCGAGAGAGAAAGGAAGAGGAGGGTTCATCTGCATTTTCCTCGGCGGCGATTTCAGGTTTGGTTTTCCCTCACTATTCTTTCCCCCTGGTTGTTTCTATAGAAGACTTATGACTACTCGGCGTCTCATGTCAATTGCTTCTTTCGTTCCATGAAAGACGAACAATGATAGCCATAACTGAGCTTCTGAGTTTTAAGCAGGCTTTTGTTTAATGTGTTTTTTGGGTTCTCAAGCGTATACTTGAATTAGCTATTGCTTAGATCTGTAGCGTTTATTATTTCTTAGAAGGTGCAGTTTTTTTCTTTATATCTGTTTGGCATATGTCTTGCATTTTCTGCACTGTGGCAGAATATAGAGGATGCGTCTATTTTATTATAATTTGTATGAATCTGTTTTTTGGGTATTTATTTGTTCTTAGCGCTCTCAGAAGAATCTATATTGCGTTTTTTGTTCGTTGTATGACTTGTGCACATTGAAGTTAATTCCGACTTATGTGACTAGTTTACAGGTAAGCCATGGTGAAGCACAACAACGTTATCCCTAGCTCCCACTTCAGGAAGCATTGGCAGAACTATGTCAAGACCTGGTTTAACCAACCTGCCAGGAAGACCAGGAGAAGAACTGGTGAGTAACAGTATTTTTTTTTCCTATCACCTCTCTTGTTTCTTTGTTTTACATGTAATTTATAATTTGACTTGAATATTTCTGAAATGTCATCAGCTCGCCAAAAGAAGGCCGTCAAAATCTTCCCTCGCCCTACTGCCGGACCTCTCCGTCCAATTGTTCATGGACAGACTTTGAAGTATAACATGAAAATTAGGGCTGGTAGGGGCTTTACTTTGGAAGAGTTGAAAGTAAGTTTATTGATTTTACCACAATGCTATAACCTTCGGCATTTCTGCCATTTCTTATGGATTGCTGATATAATTGGTCAAGGACCATTGAACTTTTGCTCATTGCCTTGCTCTGTGTTTTCCACTTTGAATTTATGAAAAATGTACTGTAGATTTTGTCCAGCTTGTATTTTAGGAGTTTCTTGAAGTTCATTACAGGCTGCTGTGTTATAAAAATAAATATGTAACCTTATTTCTCGCTTTTTTGTATGATGTTTTACCAGTCTGCTGGGATACCAAAGAAACTTGCACCAACCATTGGGATCGCAGTTGATCATCGTAGGAAGAATCGTTCTCTTGAGGGTCTTCAAGCTAATGTGCAGCGACTGAAGACATACAAGGCCAAATTAGTTGTCTTCCCAAGACGTGCTGGCAAATTCAAGGTGATGTTAAATGGTTGATTGGAGTAGTGTAAGAATGTTTATTTGCTGTCTGCATGATATCTCATCTGATATGTATTCTTTTTTTTTTTTTTTTTGCTACAGGCTGGTGATTCTGCCCCAGAGGAACTTGCTAATGCCACCCAGCTCCAAGGTTCCTACCTTCCAATTGCACGGGAGAAGCCTTCCGTTGAGCTTGTGAAGGTTACTGAGGATTTGAAATCATTCAAGGCATATGACAAACTCCGTGTGGAGAGGATGAACCAACGTCATGTAGGTGCCAGGCTTAAGAAGGCAGCAGAGGCTGAGAAGGAAGAGAAGAAGTAGAGAGAGCCTGGGCCCTTTAAATGAGCCCTTAAAATTTGGTTTTGTTTTGGAAGGTGTTTCGTTTTAGGTTTTGATCTGTTTACTGGACATGACAATTTTAGAGTTTGTAATGTCGCTTAAGTTCGTGGAAGTTAAAGATTTTATGGTTATTAAAGCTTCTTATTTGATTAATGCGGATGGTTTTGTAATTCGGTTTATCTTATGTTACTTGGTTTCAATTGTAAGGCTAAAAGCATTTGCATAGACCGCATGACTATTATCTCCACACATTGCGTAAAAGGAAGGTACTTTAATGCTATGCTCGCGTTGGTTGATGGAATATCCACTCTGTCATCTCAATTTCGCTTTTCAGAAATGCCTGATGCCTTCAGTTGTTTCAGTTGCGAAGTTGGGACAAGGCTGTTAACCAAAAGAGTTGTACCCAAGGCTGCGTTTGTCTATAACCGTTCCCAGTTGGATGCAGTTACCATAAAACGAGACGTGAAAGTAGATCAGGCAGGACCTTTAGGTTGCTTGATTGCTATATGCAGTGGATTCGTTTCCTTAGTATTTGGATCCAAGTCCGCTTCAATTGTTCATTCACATCATCAATGATCAAACGGTGCAATCCAGAATCACATAATCTGTCCGCAAACTCAAAACCCCATTTAATTACAAAGATGGAACAGCAACACTTACGAGTAAGTTTAATGTTTCTCTTTCAAAAACTACAAAAGAAAAAAAATGGTTGTTTCAAGGTTTCTTCTTCATAGGACTTCCAAATCTAATACCAAACACACCAAGAACCATCAGTTTTACGCTTAAGATGGATAGGACGAAGAACACGTCCTAACCAAATGCTTTCAGCAATGAAACTTCCAGATTGACAATGTGCCATATATGAAATGCGCAAATGCTCAGTGGTTAGTATCTGACTTTTGTTCTGCACTCAATGCTTCAATGCCTGACAAAAAAAAATTTGTTAGCAAGCCGGTATCAGGATGTTAAATAACTTAAGAAACTAGTTCCCCCCAATATACAATAGTTATCATTGCCAGATACCTTACACTGAAACTTGGAAAGGAAGAACATATCAAGCATAATTTAGTTCAGAGTTCAAACATCAAATAACTCCCTAGTTCCTGATACATCAGTAGTCCACAAGACATACTGTCATGAATTACTAAGGGTTTGGTTAACTTCAACCACGGGATAGCTGTAAAAATGCAGCTGAGTGTTACCTAAATTTGACATGTTTAGATTCAAGGTGTTTGAGCACTTTGGCCACAAGCATATAAGAAACTTCTAGGCAGATTCTCCTTTTCTTATTTTAACCTAAATTCGTTTGTGATCTAACATATTCAGCTGAACATCTTGACTAACAGATTGTAAGGAAAGTTTTCAGAAGTTATACCTGAGAAGCCATAACCCATGTTCTATCTATCCAATCTTGGCGTGGTCTCAAATCTGAGTGCTCAAACAGCAATTCATCTTTTGTACCTTTGAAGTAAACTCTGTACCTTGGCCCACGAAGGACCTTGCGGATCACACCTTCCCACCATCCATCATTATAGAAAGCATCAACCTCTTCATTCAGACTAAAACTTTCAACCACAACAGTTTCAGGTGGACAAGGCCTTATGTGCTGTGCATCGACCTCTTCTGTCAAGAACTCTTTACCATCATCTGTTTTTATGCTCTTATATCGAATGAGAAATTTGTCCTTCCCCATTACTTTGACAATATTTGCAGCAAACCAAGCACCTTGAAATCCATCTTCATCAGTGCAAATCTCAACTTGTGTTCCTTGTACAAAGCCCTCTTTCATCCAGGGCTTTGGTTCTTCGGTAGTTGAGACATCCTGCAGTCCAAGTTTTGAGGAGTTTGCATTTCAGTTAAAATAAGATAGAGGAAATCCACAAAATAGGAGATAAAACTAGATAATGAAAAAAGTAAAAGATCATATCAAATACACCGTACATGTTCAACTGTTAAACAAGACATCAGAAACATTTGGTTGCATCTTACAAGGTTTATGAAATTGACCATTCAACCTTTAAACTCAATTGGAGATAATTCACAACATGTAATAATTGTCTAACCATTGATATAACTTCCTTGATCAAAAGAGAAGGCCAACAAACATATTCTTTACACTTGGTTGCATCTGACAAGGTTCATGAAATCGACCTGTTCAACCTTTAAACTCATATGATTCAGACTTCTTTTTTATTTTATTTTTTAAACACGAATAATCAAAGGAAAAAGTAGAAATCTACCACTCTTTCTCAACTGCAAGAGGGCAAATGACCGGTCTTAAATCTTTCATACATTCTCAGAATCAAGCAATCCAATCTTCTAATCTAACATAAGCTATATGTCAAGGAAGGAGGAGATTGGCCAACAGATCAAGCAAAATAGGAGGAAAAACAAGGTTCGCATACTCTCCCAAAGAACAGCAAAGCAGCTAATGGGGTATTTGGCACTAAACATGGTTTTCAGGAAGTCTGTCATGAATATACCACCTCTTTCTCTGTCAATCATTCTCAACTAAGATCAAGTTTTCCACAATTCAATAACAATAATATTGGTTTTTCTCCTTATCCCCTGACTATAGTCCCATGAAACTAGTTCAAAGGTCAGCTGATCACTGGTCCTCCGATTCCCAGCTCAAGCCAAATGGAAGAAAAAAAAGTAGAAAGGAAAAGAAAAGGCTCTTTACAATACGCACATATATTATTTTAAAGCAGAACAGAACAGAACAGAACACCCCTAAATTTTCATACTAGTAAAATACATACCCATATTACGAAATAGATCGTGGGAAAAGCACGTAATAACAAAAGTTATTCATTCTTCAGACTTTAAACCAAAACAAAAACCAAATGCTTCTCATATCTCCTATCCGGTAACAAAACAATCACGGAGGGCAAATCATCACAGAAAATCCCAATATTAATATTATCCCTTGAATTGAATAATGGCACACCAAGAAAAAAATAAAAATAACAAAGGCAATCAAGAAAAAAGGCGATTCATTACTTACGCCTTGCTGAAGAGGTGGAAGCCAAGAGCCCTTGACCCACTCCCGGTGAAGCCTGAGCTCCTCCGACTCAAACTCAAACTTCTCCTTGGCAAACCGAAAATAAACCCCAAACGTCGAGTCCTTCATAACATCAGTGATGACTCCCTCCCACCACCCGCCACAGAAGAAGGCATCAACGACGTCGCCTAACTTGAAGCAGCAGTACTTACTTTCTTGGGGCGGCAAGGGCCTTATGAGCGCCACGTCCACCTCTTCCTCCACCTCGTTGCGCTGCTGGTGCCTCTTCCTCCTGCTGAGATTGCCATCAATCTTGGCCTTCACTTTGTTATATTCAACTTTCAACTTGGTTTTATCTCTCGACTTGCCGATGATTTTTGCCGGGAACAGAGTGCCACGCATATTGTGGATTGGACTGGTCACCTCCACCTCGTCGCCAATCTTGAAATTGGAGCCAACCATTGAAGCTCTCTCTCTCTCTCTCAGGGCACCGCCTTCCCTTTAGGGCTTTTCTCTTATTTTTCTTCTCAACTCAAGGGGTTCGTTCGCATCAGGTACAGTAAAGTAGTAGATGGATATAGGCGGGAGATGAAGCGTTGGGGCGGGTGGGTCCGTCAAACCAAAAGCGGGTCTTTTTTTCGTTTACACGTAGCTTCTAATTCCAGTTATAGAAGAATATATATATATATATTTTTTCAATACTTGAGTGGTTTTATTATTTTGGATTAAAGCAGTATAATATAGACTACACACTGATTGAAGAAATGTTACCAGAAAAGTGAATATCTTTTTGTTTTTGGCCAGAAAATGTTTATGATCAGCTTATCCCGCTCAGAAAAATTAATTCATAAAATGATATAAAAACCAACTTCTTCCCTCTCAGATAATTGAAATGACCAGATTAATAGAAAGCCAAAACTGGACAAAATTCTCTGTTGCGCGGCATATGTCAGCAACAAAATAAACTCAGAAAAGAGCTTTCAATGATCAACGTGACATCTAACAATTACTTCAATTACATAATAATAATGTCTTGGATATGCTAGGACCCAGGCTTTCCTCCTGTTGCAAGTCATACGCTCTTCATTATAACACAGTGGTTTGGTTGGACATAGGCGTTCCCTGCAAGCACGATCGAGTCTTGGACTGCACCATGGCGGCATGGAACACTACTGCCAAACTAAATGCACACAAATTCAATCATATATCTCAATTTAAGATAAGTCAACAAGTTTCTTGCGATTTACTACAATTGAAATACTTACACACAACAGGATAATGCTAGTCTGCAAGCCTTCTTCTTCCTAGAGCTTTTATCATCTTTCCTCGTGAAGATGACAAATAAGATCCTTGTTTGTATCTTAATAATTAGGCCTCCGCCCAAAAAGTATGTAACATTTCTTCCTTTTTAAAAATGCACGCAGCAAACAACTCTTCAGATTACCATGGAAGTTAATCAGAAGATTCACTTTCAAGAGCCGGAATTCTGCGGAAACGTGCAAAGTAACGTGAATACGACACATCAATTTTATTTGACGACACTGATCTCTTCCGCCTTGCCAGAAACCCTTTCCCAGAAAGTGAATCGTGCAAATCTCCCAGGTCCATCTCTTTCCTGACCCGACCACTTTCAAGTAGAAACCTGAAAATCAACAACAACAAAATTGTAAACGAATCTAAATTGGATGTCAAATATAACTGAAGCGCAGGATATTAAAATCACAACACAGAAACTAACGCCTTGTAAAGAGAAAAAGTCCATTAGTGTCGCACAATTAACTCTGATACATGGAAAACCATACCGCTGGCGAATAATTTTAAAAGCTTCTTTTGTTGCATAAGGTAGCCCTGTCTTTGGATCACGGTACCTGCAACATCAAACGAATTCATTAAGTGGACGCATTATACAAGATGGCCAGCTTAACCTAAATAATTGTATGTTTCCAACACCATCAATCCTCACACTCTCCATGGCCACTCAGAACTGCTCTAACATTTATCATCATTTACCTGGCACCACACATTCATTCATCAAACAGCATGCTTATTAGTGCATTGTGTAAGAGGTGGACAATAGCCGTGATACACTAACTAACAATCAATCTTTTCAAACTCTCTCTCTCTCTCTCTCTCTCTCTCACACACACACACACACACACACACGCTCACACAGCATACCCACACACACACAGCAGAAACCATGACATCAAATATAGGCACTTACTTGGCAGGTAAACCAGTAACTGCACAAACAGCTTTCTCAGGGTCTGGAAATAAAAAGAAATAAAAATCACACAGCATACCCACACACACACAGCAGAAACCATGACATCAAATATAGGCACTTACTTGGCAGGTAAACCAGTAACTGCACAAACAGCTTTCTCAGGGTCTGGAAATAAAAAGAAATAAAAATACATAAAAAAAACATTGTTATGAAACATAAAACATAAAAAATAAATCCCTGAGCAACACATTCATCTAAACTATCACTTACAGGGAACAGTCGTGGTAGAGATTTCAGACTGAAATGATAATCCTCTACTGAATTCCAGATACGAGCAACCTAAAGAAATGTAGTTTAGAAATTTCTTTATCAGAGAATGACATTGCCACAATGATCAAATTTGTGTATACTAACAATATATATTTTTCAAAAAAGAAAATGAAAAGATCAGAATATTGTAAAGCTGAAAGCTTACCATCTTTTGAGAAATATCGTACTTGCGGGCCAGTATAGACAGCTTTGTGCACAATTGCTCTTTTCTTAACTTCTTCCTCCCTTGCTAGAACACGCTCCAAATTCCTCAAGTTCATAATTTCTGAAGTTTTGCAGGTAACAATTCAAGTTTAGATACAGCCAGCTTCAATTTCAAGTAAATATAAATAAGTACCCAGCAATTCAAATCACATACTAATTACGAATATTGAGGCTTAAAGTACAAACCAGTTTGAGCTGCTTCTAAAAGCATCTCTTCTTGGGTCATCCTCTTCTCCTCGCCTTCCTTTTTTCTCTTTATTGGCTAATGTAAAAGAAAATTTATATTCATTAAAAATAGTATGATATCTTAATCAACGCAATGATCTCACAAACAAATACCAACGGTCTTTAATCAGAATTTGGAGTACATTCAATATCAAATGCTATTTAAAACTCACCTTCATGGTTGCTTGCAAAGCCGCACGTATTGCATCCCTCTCGGCTTGCCTGATAATCACTGAAGTTCTTGAAGATTTTCTCACGATTCTCTCTCCTTCTCCTTCCTCAGGAGCATCGTGATGATGTTCAGGTTGGGAAGATTTCTCATTTTCAACCTTAGATTCTTTCTCTAATTCCGTTAGCACTTTCTTCTTCTTCTTCTTCTTGCTTGATTGCTTTCCTGGAAATATCAACCGCTTCTTTGTCTGAACTCTGTAATTATAATTCATTGAATTTAACTAAATTCTGAGTAAAAGAAACTAAATGCCATTTGGGTAAGCAAAACTCAACCTTTCCTCTGCCTCGTTGTTTTCTACTCCTTCATCCGGGTCTGGCTCCTACCAACAATTTAAGCAAGTCTAAGCAAGATAGAACTGGTAGGAAACTAACATTTGAAGTGAACAATCCAAGAAAAAAACTCACATCTTCGTCGAAGTCACTATCAAACTCGTCAGCAACCTCAGGCTCTGCTTCATAGTTACCATCCTCTTCATCCTACCAGAATATAAAATTCATAAGGGTAACTATAAATATTTGACTAAATTCAGACTTTTTTTTGTTCATGCACCAAAGAAGAGGTTACAGTAAAACACACCTCTTTAAGAGCCTCCTGATTCCAGAACATCTCGTCCTCTTCGATTTCCTCATCAAGTAATTTGGTCATTCTGAAAATCGTAAAATGAAAAAATGCTTAAACCTCAAATCAATCGAATTCATTAACCCAGTTATTGAACTTTAGTTACCTCTTCCCTCTGGTGGCGCGAGAGGTACGATCGAGAATCAAAGGCGGGTCATTTTTGGGGGTCTCCATGGCAACCCAAGAGAAATTAAAAGGACGAAATTGAAAAATCGATTTGATTTGGATCAGCCGAAATATGCCCTAGCACCCCCCGCCAAAGTTTCAATCTCAGTCTCACTGATAAACTCTCACCCCACAGCCTAATTAGTAATTCATACGGGAAGAGAAAGAGGTAAATAAAAACGATATGTCGTTCTATGGCTTATAATAAATAAACGTCATGTCGTCATTCTAGATTTTCCAGATAGAATCGAGTGTCGTGTTGTATTTGAGTGAATTTCAGAAGAAGAAAATTGATCGACGTTGTAGGCTTGCAGAGCCAAACCGTACAAAGACGAAGCTCGCAGTGCAGTTGAAGTAGAAGTGCTTCGAGAGCCTCTTTCTATCTTTCTTCAAACGTAGTCCATCATCTCAGAATGGCCACAACTCTTCGCTGCCCTCAAGCAGTAGCACCACTTCCATGGAGGGCGAGAAGGCCCAACAACAGCAGAGGCACAATCCCAATGGGGCCCCGCCAGGTGTCGAACATCCGGGCCTTCGGGCGAAGCGACATCGGAAGCTTCGCGAGGGACGCGTGGCGGAGCGCCAACGACGGATTCGAGCGATTCCTATTCGAGGCCAAGAAGACGGCGGAGCGCTTGGACCGCCGATACGCCCTTTCGCACCGCTTCGACACCATCGCTCGGTCCGCCGCTGCTCGCGCCCGTGAAATTGACAGAGACCTCGAGATTGGGACGCGCTGGCGCGCCTTTAGCATGGATTTGAGCAGAAATTTGCCTAGGGTTTGTTCTCTTGCTTTTACCATTTTGCTCTATTATGTATATGGATACGACGTGGTGTTGTGTTTACTGAGTTCTTGTTTGGTTGGTGTTTGCAATTTGTGCAGTACAGGAAGCAGCTTAATGATTTCCTGGAAACCCCATTGGGAAGAAGTTTTGCGGTAAGTTAACATTTGCTACAATTGTGTGATGGTCTTCAGTTTATGTTCAACTAATTCAACTTATTTTTATTTTTTGAATGATTTTGAAGACAATCTTCTTCCTGTGGTTTGCATTATCCGGATGGTTTTTTCGGTTATTGATATTCGCTACATGGGTACTGCCATTTGCTGCTCCTCTGGTCATTGGAGCGGTTGCCAATAACCTTGTTATTAAGGTATTACTAGCTGCCTGCTGCTACAAGTTGAATATGTTAATGTTTGTGTTAGTGTTACTGGGTATGTCTCATCATATTTCATAATTATACTAGCTGCGAAGTCTGCAACTAAACTGAGTGAGTTTTATGGCAATTCGACTTTGCAATGTAACCAATCAGATAGTTCTTCATAGGGCTAATTGTGTTTGTTGCACCAAATTTGGACAGGGGGCTTGTCCAGCTTGTAAGAGGCAATTTGTTGGTTACAAGAACCAAGTAATTCGTTGTGCAAGCTGCGGAAACACTGTGTGGCAGCCAAAAGGGGACTTCTTTTCAAGAGATGGTAGAGGCCCGTCTTCGTCAAAATCAGAACCGGAGATTATTGATGTTGAGTTTGAAGAGAAATGAGGAGATACCCAAGTTGTGTGGAAGATCACGCCTGGTAGACTTTTAGATTACATACATAGAGAAAACGCAAGAGTTTTTACTTTTCATTTCCGCTTATATAAAGTCTTATTCTTGGTTTTCTTCTTGTTGTAAATTATGCCTCCTGTATTTTGGAAGTAAGAATTGTTCAATCATGCCATTTGTATATCGTTTGCACTACTATAGGAAGAGGTTGAGAAACAAAATACATGGCCTTTTTGCTGATGACAGAAAAAATCTTTATATTGATAGGCAGTTCTTCTTATGGTCTGCAGTGAATCAAGTTAGTATGAGTGATCAGCCAAAGTTTTGGTGCTCCTTGTGGCAGTTTTAAGCGAGAAAATTGGTATGTCTTGAGAAAGAAAATTAAATTTACTGTGCTCTTACTACTTCAATTTTCTGTATTATTGGGCAGCAAGGTACTCTCTTCCTTTTGGCGAAGGGTCGCAAAGGTTGTGTAGCATGGTTTTAGCTATGTCAATGTAGTTACTCTGTCAGTATCGAGCAACAAAAAGAAACCGGTCAAACACAACTGCAGATATACAGTGCAGAAAAGCTCATGAAATCTTATACTTGCGTATTTTGAAGTCATGTTTTTAGAAGAGAAATCTCGTATCTCTGTTTGTATACTCTAATAATCTGCCTTTTGTTGCAGTGTATTGTTGTTTATGGCCATTTTGAGCTTGGTATCATTTTTGTTGAGAAGAAGGTATCTCGTGTGATGATTGATCTATAAGACGAATGCACATGAAATCGAGCAAGAAATAAACACCAGCATTATGCACATGAAATTGATGTATATAACAAACACCAGCATTATGCATTGACGAGTTTGAATATTAAAAGCTATAAGCCTGTATAGGTTAGGTTTACATGACATCAATTATGCATCTGTAAGAGATTAGAGATGCTTGACGTCCAAACTAAAGACTCAGTTTCATCTTTAAACAAGAGCTTGATATTTCCATTGTTGCTTCTTAGGCTGATTGAAAGGTTGCCCTGACCCTGAGCTTCCTGGGTTCCCTCCATCACGTGCAAAATCTTGTCTGCAAAGCGTTAAGTTTTACTTCACAATTCTAATAAATAAACAAAAAATAATTAAAAGCGTAGTTCAGGGGAAAGAAATAGGAAAACAAAATCAGAAGCCTTTGATCTTACATTCCTTTCTTGTGGCTAAGAATCCCAGATGCTTCTTTTGGAGGCTAAGCATGAGCTGACTATGCTTTGAATATATGCAGGCCCACCCGTATGTTCTGCTTCCTGCTTGCACAAACAAGAATCTATCTTTATTTTGTCATATAACAGCAAAAGCAAAGGTGTTATTTTAAAATTCTGTCCTCGCATTTTCTTTTACCAGAAGGAGTGACAACTGATAGCTCGGCTTTTACTTGAAGCAAATTTTGGCTTCTTGGAAAGTAGGCATTGCCCATAGCTCTTGCTTTGAGCGCTGCAACTCCTCTTAAACCTGGCAACTTGTCATCGAGTTAGTTAACGTGTGTCTTTTATGGGAGAAAAAAAGAGAGTGGTTATCTGAAGATTATGGTGAAGGAAACATTGATCAAAACATTACATGTTGCAGCAGCAGCTGTAAGTGTGATCATGTCGTCAGTTGTTTGGATAGCCAAGCCGGAGTTTATGGCAGAAGAAACATTTGTTTTCTGTGCACCCAATGACTCTGCGGCTTCAGCACATACCGTGGTAACCAGAGCTGCGGCAGAAGCAACGATGTCACCTATAATGGGGTCGGCGTCTTCCGCTGATTCTATGCTGCTGTTCTTGCAGTTGGAAGCAACGCTGGCAATAGCTGCAGCCAAGCGTGTGACAGAAAGGGCTGCATGAACACTAGCTGTGTGAAGTCGAATATCATCTTTCTTCTTCACTCTCTGCAGTCCGAATATGCTTATTAAGGATTTGCCTCCTAACCATCCCTTTGTGTGCTTGGAGTTCATCTGAGAGAGAGAGAGAGAGAGAGAGAGAGAGAGAGATTTCCTAATTAGACTGGTCATTTTGAAGTGCACATGTGAGAGAGAGACAGAGAGACAGAGCTAATTACCCATATCGTGTCATCCACCCTGCTGATCATAGGGCTTCTAGCACTAGTTTGGGATGGCAACTCATCTATGACTTGTATCTCCAGTTTCTCTTCTGGTTCCCCTGAATTGAACTTGTCTTCCTGTTTCCCTGAGGTCCAGTTGTCATGTGAACCAAACAAATCCTGTAAAAATTAACGTCATATTTATATGAACTTGAAGACAAGATATACATGATACGTGCAAAGTGCCAAGAATTTGAAGACTCTCACACTTGATGTAAACATCTGCTGAAAGTTATAGGCTGATGGGCTCCATGAGCGACATAAAAACTCCATGGCATGGACGGGGCTCTGTGGAATCTCCGAAGAGCTGCAGCGAGAAGAAGAAGAAGAAAACGTTTTTTGTTTTCTCTGTAAGCATTGCTCTGTTCTGTGCCAAGACTCCAGCTTTCCGTTCTAATCAACAGTATAATTGGGAAGTCAATTTCTCTTGTTTGTTATTTAAACTTGTCAAGATGAAAGTCTATATGCTGGCTTTAGACTCACTGTGTGTGTTGATTGGTGCTGGGTTTTAAAGGAGACTGATCTGCCTGGCCTAACTGTCCCTGGTAGTTCCTCCATGAGAACTCAAATCTTTAGTCAATGCTACCTGTACAAGAAAATTATATATAGAGATATAAGCAAGCCATTTTCGACCAACATTTGATGATTTATATGCATGGGGTTTATGTTTATCTCTTGCATTGCATTAGTAGATTTTTATTCTACAAAACAAAGAAGAGGAATCCGAATGTGAAACAAAAAGGTCAGAGAAGAAGAAGATGAACATAACACAAAGTCACAGTAAAGGCGGCTTCTCTTCTCTCTGTAATACAAAAGAAGGAAGAGTTACTTACTGCTCAGAATAACACAAAAGAAGAAGGAAGAGTTGCTGAAATAGGAAAGCTAATGAGAACGCCAGTGTACTTTTATTACTACTTGAGGAAGGTGGCAACTAGAACTGAGACCCTTGCCCAAATAGGCTTTACTATATGTAATAAGGCTCCTGGATTTGTACATTCCGTTTATAACTAGGAACGGGGGTATTTCCAAAAATAATAATATTCTCTTGATAGCTTGTGAGATTCTATCTCTTTGCATACTTATATTATATGCGGTTCTTGTGTACGCATGAGACAACTTTTATTACGAGTATCCTTCTCTTTCGTTCTTTTTGTATTGTTGAATCGAATTGATATCTTAATTTTGCATTGGATTGTATAAACAACGCTTCGGAAAGCTTAAACAACACTTAAAGATGAGGGAAAATAATGGTTAATGGTTAAAATAACGACATTCTCATCCCAATTGCAATGCCTGTTCTCGGGATATGTCAATAAGGCATAGTTACTTATCTCTAGACTAGACTAAAGAGGGAGCAAAGTTTAATTATTGGTAAAAATAGGCATCATCTTCCTATTTTAGGTTAATGGGGGTCTTGGGATCACGTGGGAGCCAAGAAAGATGACCAATTGTGTCTTCTTTGTTCATTTCTCTCTCGTGCCATTTTAGTTTTGCCCAATCGTTCTAATACTACATGCAATGATGCAAAGATTAAGGCAGCTGCACATGCAATATATATATAGGGATCCATGCGCCCCGCCCCTTATGCCATATTCCCATCATTAACCTACAATTTTGATGCACTTAAAAATGTGGTCCTTCAGCCTACTACTACTACCACTGCTAATATCATATTAATGGAGCGCTAATCCAAAATGCAAACCAGTTTGCATGTATTGTTTCAAGGTTCAAATGTACGTTTAATTTTTAGAATTTTCGAATTACGGTGTTAATGTGATATGTTTTCACTGGAAGTCAAATTGCAAACATCTCTCCCATTGGGGAAAGAATTTCCACTCAAGCCTGCAAAAATTGCATACCAAGGCCAAATGTACAACCTGATTAAAGAAAATAAGAGAAAGATTTACAAATTAAAAAATTATCTTCAACTGTACGTATATAATGGATGACTTCATGAGACATAAATTCAAAAATAAAACATTCAATGACAAAAATCTCGTTGATTCCACACCCTATATCTGTTCTGTTCAGCAATACATGCGTTTCTGTAGTAGTAAACTTGTTTGCTGGTCGTGACATCATCATGTAACCAAACCAAATGATGGTTGGTTGCAATGGCAAAAACGACGCAATGACTTGAACCTATACAAGAAAGACACCATAACTGGTGTCCCCACGATAAGAACATGTGTTCATGCAGCATGCAGCTTTGAATTATAAACTTCACATTTTCAACTTCCTATCCCACCTTACAACACGTATTTATGGATGGGGGGCTACAACCTTTCTATCTTGTAATCTGCCGCAGAAAAGCTTTAGCCTGCACACGTCAAAATAATGATACAATCTTCCTAGTTCACTGCGTATGACCTTGACATGACAGCAAGACGGGCGAGTTACAACAGGTCCATCATTCATTTCGGATGGAATAATACTTGTCCGAGAGTGTTGGAGATTTTGAGATTTCATTCATAAGGTTCTTGAACTTAAGGCTGCAATCTCCACCACTGCAGGATAAACAAATATAACAAAGCAGTAGAAGATTCATCAATGTCAAAACAAACACATGCACGCAGAGGAAAGCAAAATACTGGGGAAAAGGTCTGATTAAATCCAAAGACCTAACTCAATCCAACCTCTTTACCACCTAGCCAAGGACCACAGTTATTTCTGCTTTACTTAATCACTCCAGTCTATAGAGGACGAACAAATGCACACAAGAATTTCATGCAGAACCTACATCAGGTCATAAATAAAAAGGCAAAGGGTGAAACCTTATACGATGCAAGGATGCAATTGCTCTAAGAGCACTGCGAATCATATCTTCATTGCGATCTACTTCTTGCTTGACAGCATCTTGCTTTGGCTTAAAGTTAATAGTTTTTTGGAGAGGATCCACCAGTGAGTCCAGCACTGAAGGACAGAAAATTTTACATTACATAATAAATTTTTTTTTTTTTTTGAGATCAGTAAATTAACTGACCTGCCAGAACAGCAGATGGACACTTGTCCGCAAGCTTTGAGAGTATAAGATGGCAAGGCATCTTAACATCATAATGATCTGGAAAAGCAAAATCCAATTCAGTTAGGAAGGTAATAAATTTAACAAGCACCACATGTTAACCATACATCTTCAAATTTGCATAAACCAAAACTAAACTCACCGTCCAAACCAGATCTAAGATAAGGAACAATAAAAGATGAAGGGTTCACTTGATCAAGACAACTGTCCAGCAATGTGTCCACACATTCAAATGCAGCCTTCCTTAACTCAAGCCCATCATCCACAATGTGCTTAAAAGGACCAAGATCAACTGTCCGGATCAATTCTTTCTGCACCCAGAATTTTCACGTTAAATAAGATAACAACTCAAGACTAACACAGGAAACAAATTAACGAATGATAGAAGGTGGTGTTGCTTTAAACATGGAGCACAGCAGTATTAATACCATGAATGTCCTATCTTCTGTAAAGGCACTCTATATCATACATACATCAACTGCGTAACATAGAGATAAACTTCAAAACACTCAACCAACCTTGATGACAGTTTGGTCATAAAGAAGTGGCAACAGCTCTGGAAGAAGCCCCTTAATCAGGTTTGGCTTATTGTGGGCAAATGTACTTAAAGCCAACACAGCCGCACGCCTAACATGCTGCATGGAGTCATAGCAAATCAGTCACCACAAAGTCAACAAACCTAGAACATAAAACAATATTGAAAAGAGAAACAATCGGGGGGGAACAAAAAGATGGCAAAACACTTAGTTTATCAAGCACTAGAAATCTGAGACTTACCCGGTCATCATCCCTAATAAGCATCAGGAATGATGAGATTTCAGGATATAAAATCTCATCTATCTTCTCTGGCCTCTCAACTACTGAATATTTAACTGCAATGACAACAGTAGCTCTTGTGAAAGCAGCTGGGCTGGTTGTTCGCACCTGTAGGGAATTAGGATTAGAAACACAGATATGCAACCCATCAAATACTCTTTACTCATAATCTTATCGAGAAGGCACAGGGTCATTTGACCAGATACCTTAAGTGCAGGAACAAGTTTTGCAGGTTCAATAAGTGCAATTTTACCCAGACACTCAGCTACTACATTGCGAACACCCTCTTCCTCACTTTCACAGTGATTAAAAAGTAAATTAAGTATCTTCTCAACGCTCGAATCCTGAAACTCTGCTTTATCTACAGACTGCCTTACTATGACCTGAAAAATGGTTGAAATAAACTTAAACTCAACAGACAAAACATTTCAGGAAACAAAATCAGGCTCTTAAAGTTCAGAAGAATGCACCTCCTTCAGAGAATGAAGCAAGAGATACTGTTTTTTCTGTTGATTGTCAATCTGGTCCAAAATAAAAGGCAAATACTTGAGCAGGTTACCAACAGCAATATTGCCAAGAGCGTAGGAGGCTGCAGATTTAATCTCTTCAAAAGGAGATTGAAAGGACTCAATGACAATATTCTCTATATGGTCATGGGAGCTTAGATCTTTCCTCCTTCCAATCTCCCCAAGACACAGCAAAGCAAGGTGCTGCTTAGCCTATATCATATGAAGAAAGCAATTATACTGGGCCCAAATAAAAGTTATAAAATAATAAATGAAAAACTAGAAATCAACTAGATTCAATCAATCTACCCCAAATTTATAATGAGAGTTTGCCTACCACCAAATTGCCTTCATTTTTTAAGATTACCAAATAATAATAAATCGTGAACAGTTAAATAGCCTATCCCTATTTGCTTACAAAAACCAAAACACTGTCATCAGTGAAGATAACCCTAATCGAGTTGTTTTCTTTTGGGAGGGGGACTTACTGAATTTGTACTGCTGTCATCTTTGAGAATTTCAGTTAGCATGTTCACGGTAGATGAACATTGCTGATCACCAGCAGCAAGGCAAAGGACAGCCACACATTGAGCTATTGAATACAAAGCCTGTTTTGCAACCCCACCTGACTGGGGAGATGGTTTAGCACTTGATAGCAGAGAGTCTAGTAAGGTATCAAAACTTGTGTTTGCAGAATACACCAAGGAAGCAAAAAAGTTTTGCAAAGCCTGCAATATCCAACAAAGAATGTTCTCAAACATGTGCAAAGTTTCTAGATCAAGACAAAACACCAGTTAGATAGATAAAATTACCAAAAGGGCTTGCCCCTGCAGCAATGAGCTCTTAATTAACGTTAGTGCTTGCGGAAGAACTTTGTTTCTAACAGCCAAACCAACAACCGGGCTTGACCTGTCTGCCATCAAGGTGCA